TGTTGTCGTCAATGACAATGTCAACCCTTCTACAACAACTTTGACGGCCTCCCTATTCTCTAGTCTAACTTTCCTAGGTCTAATATCATTTTCTCTTTCAATAGTTTCTCTAAGTTCCTTATCTAACGGTAAGCGGATCAACTCCACTTGTTGGAGTTCAATGGCTTCTCTAGTGCATGGAGGTGGCGAGCTGTACTGCGAGCCCACCATCTCACTGGAAGAACTGCTTGACGCCACTGTACTGGATGTGGTCTGCGAAGTGTGTGGCATGCCTAAGCTCATTAGACCAGATGTAGCATCTGAAGTAGCAGCAAAAGAAGCCATAGCTGCTGCAGTGGCAGTTGCAGCTGTGAGCGTTTGCTCGGCTGCTGTTGCCGCTTCTCTAGCCCTCTGTAAGCGTTCGGCTACTGCTTCCTGTTACAAAGGCCTCTCTCCCCTAGGGGGTAAATCTTGGTGCACGATGGGGATCCTAATGGACTCCTGACGTGTCACCCTCCTTCCTGCAGAACTGTCCTCACCACTGCTTGGTCCACTCATCAGCTAGGCAGACACTGTCTGCACTAATGCCCTCTCCGGCGCCTACCACAGCATGTGTCTGACCAAGTTGAAAAATAAATAAAAATAAATAAATATTTGGTAAGGTACCAGGGTACTGTTCAAGCGGCATCAACAACATTCACACAAACTGTACACATGATCTATGGTAGAATACTACAGTACTAATCTAGGCTGTCCGTTAGGTGTTAGCAGTTTGTCACCAACTAATCAAAAATAAAAATAAATCATGTGAGCAGATGTATGCAAAATGGGTATGTTTGTGATTAACAGTTGAGCGTCAATTGGAATCTCCCTCCCCTGTATCCAACGTGTCTGTCTGCATCATCAAGCAGCGGTGTCTAAAGTGTGCATTAACGGCCCACCCCTATGCCCAGGAATATGCTTATGACCAGTAATGCCCTTTCTTTATCCTCGCGTGCAACGAGCCTTATGTCTGACTGATCTGGTTGATGAAGAGGCAGTTTAAGGACAGCCCCCAAGGTCCTCGGGAATTATTTAACGTTGCAGACAGGACGACGATCACAGCCAGTGGACAGTTCAGATCGCCGCCAGAAATGTTTATTGACGGTCTGGTAAGCGTCTGCATAGGACTGGTCAGTCCGCACTCCCTCTATCAGTGCAGCAAAGAGCCTTAAAGGACAAAGCAGCACGGCCTGCATGTACTACTCCCATGGGTTGGCATGGTGACCGTGACCCGTGCTTCGACCAGGGCCCTTCAAAGGCACCGCCCTCTCCTGCCAGATACGCCACGTTGGAACTCACTTCCTCATGGTAAGAAGAGATTGAGAGGGTAGATAAGGTAAGGGAACAACGTATCTGGAGATAGCTGTCCCCCAAACCACAAATTTCTGACCAATTGAGCCTATGTGCATTTCGATGACCAGTCGTAGCTTCGGTACCACCCACAACGCAATGCAGTGCCACCTCAGCCAAAATGCCACACAGCATGCTCTCATCATCATACATACATCCGTTGTTGCCACAGCTCCCACACTGCCGCCATAGCCTTCCTGCGACGCACCCCTCCACCCGCGTGTCACGTTGTCAAGCCAGCGCCAATGTTGCCACAGAACCATCGTCAGCGCACCAAGTAACAATGTCGTCACTGGCAGATAGGCGATCTCGAACCAGCTCCGATACCGAATTGCAAGGAATATGAGTGAGAGCGATATACAGAAAACGAAGTTGCAAAATCACGCAGAAGTCCAGATAGTCATGTAACAAGCAGAGAGCTCAAATGCACCAAGATTCCATCCAAATAAGAGCAATACAATGAACTCGTGAGCCAATGTTCAAGCCCTCAGGCCACACCAACGCAGTATTCAATGTCACTCATCTCTGTCTGGTGCACAACGCCCAGTCTACGCTACCTGTCCTACCTATCCTACCTACGTTCATGCAACAGGCTCACTTCGACTTTGAAGACCAATGTGCATGTCGTCAACACCAATGCTGATCTCCCACATACACCAGGTACGTACTCTCGTCTCCCTCATCACCCCCTGACCACCCACTTCTGCGCCTCCTCCCGAAGACCCCCGTCGCCCTCTTCTGCCTCGCGCCCTGCAGGCCGGCTATGGCCGTCACCTCTCAGTGCTCGCGAGCGCCCCGGCCAGCTAGCGCACATGCAGACACTTGCACAGCGTTGCAGCAGCGTGTCCGCATTGCCCGCCTCGACCAGAATCCACCTTCCTGGCTGGCCTACTGCCTATATGCAAGTGGCAGCTGCTGCTGGACTCCCTGGGCCTGGCCGTGGAAGTTTCCAGTACCTTTTGGTCGGGCCCCAGTGTCTGCGCCCAGGCCCATTTTGACAATTGAGGGCCTGGGCCCTTTTTAGTTGGGAACACCCCGCATTTTCCAGGCTCCGAATGTTTGCTGTATTTGCACTGGCCCACAGGGTAGATACGACGACAATGCTGCTTTCTTGTTGGCCCGTGGCCACTTCGTGATGTGTTGGCTACTCAATGTGTGCGTCCAGGGCTGAACCACCCGAGCCCTGGGGTCAACTGCCTGGCGCAGTTGTTTCTTCTAAAGGAGCCCAGGGTAAGTCTCAGGTTGCACTTCAACCAACTATCGTGCAGCAACTCTCTGAGACCCGCATTGGAAAATGCTGAGATAAGGGTCTCTCCTGAATATTCAGGCCCGCCTTCACTTAGGGGGGGCACAAGGCTTGCTGGGGGGCCACATTCCAGAACATGTGCATGGTGCCTAGGACCCCCTGAGGACAGAGTCTTCACAGATGCAATTTTTGGTTAAAAAGGCCTTCTGAAACGGTTCACCTTTACAGTAGCAGATGCAGTACCGAGGGCTCAATCCCTAGACCTCACCTTCACCCATGTATAGTACCGGTTGACCCGTGTAGGTTTGAACCCGCGACCTGTGTTCTGAAAGTCATCTGTCCAGCTGTTGTAGATAGTGTGGTCGTCGGGTCTTGAACTGTGGGTCTGTGTGTTAGAGGTCTTAGCAGGAGTATAGGTCGTAGCTGCTACAGTTCCAAAAGGTCAAGCAAGCCTACAACCTTCCGGAACTTCCGGAACTCGCCTTTCATGAGTCCTAGAGTTAGTCCGCGTCTGAGTCAGCAGAGGGTAGTCCTAACACAGTCAGCAAAAGGCAGTCCTAGCTGGTTCCCGCTGTCCCGCAAAGGTCACGGTGTCCGTCGCCACCTCATCTCCGCGATCGCCATCATCATCGCCATCGCCGTCATCATCATCAGCCGCCGAAGAGAGGAGGGTGCCGCCGTATCTCAGCTCGCCGATAGAGGAGGCGCCACGTCATCGTCGTTGCAGCTACGGAAAGGAGGAGAGAGGAGGCGGCACGACAACATCTTGGGCGCTCAACGCTATTTGCCGCGGGCTTGCCCGCTGCCAGATCGCGCGCCAGTTCCTGCGCGTCCATGTATCGTGCGCTTGCCTCACCGCCCGCTGCCGCCCGTTGCCGTCACGCGCGCATCGCTGCCGTGCGCGCCCTGCTGATTGCCCCACCCTCGTTCCCTGTCGCACAGCATTTTAGCGAGCGCCCGAGGTGATCGCGGGTTTAGCTGACATCTGCACGCCCACTGTCCAGCCGCACGCACCATAGAAGGAGTCCACCGGGAGAAAGGAGGTCCGCCGTTGGTGAAGAACCGCCGCACCGTTGGAAAGAGTCACTGTGCCAAGTGGAAGAAGGGCGGCCATAGCTGCTGGACCTGCAAGAAGAAAGACGACGACGAAGAAGAGAAAGAAAGGGAGATAAATAGAGATAGATAGATAGATAGATAGAGAGAGAGAGAGAGAGAGAGAGAGAGAGAGAGAGAGAGAGAGAGAGAGAGAAAGAGAGATACAAGATTGGTTGCGTCAGCCAGAAGGAGGCGGGCATAGCCGCCGAGCTCGGACCTGAAGAAGAAGGAGACCGGAGGTAACACAGAAGAAGTGAGAAAGGAGGAGGAAAGAGAGACGAGGGAGAAAGAAGGAAGCCATAGCCAAGGAAGGGGGAAGAAGATGAGAGGGGTTGACGAGAGAGAAGGGTCGGCAGCCATAACCGGAGGTCAAAGAGCTGACCGGCGAAGTTTGACCAAGTTGACCGGCATTGACCAAGGCCGTTGACCAAGATGGAGTTCGTATAATCTCGCCAAGCCTTAAGCCTACCCCCTTGCCCTGTGGATGAGCACATACCCTTGGTACTTGCTGAGTCAGTCTGTCTCTTCTTTCTGCATTGAGTCACTTCTGTCTAGGTTGATAGTACTCTGTGCATGTGGTCGATAGAGCTGTGGTGACCAAACATGCACAGGCTTAGTAGGGCTAAAGGTCATGTCTAACGACTAACACGTCCTGGGGACAAGACCCCCAAGGACCGGTACAGATTGGCGGACTACTTAGTGTGGCATGGTAGGCCTGAAATCCGAGCTGTAGGCTGCGCATCCAACAATTTTGAGAGGACTTTGCTGATCACATCGTCCTAACTGCGATGTTAAAGAATTCCTGAGCAGTCATGGGGGATCTCCTTAAATGCCTCCTGATCAGCAGTAGAGTCCTCTAGTGACACCCTGAGAGTAGGTCAGGCTAGTGACCATAGTTGACAAGGTCTAATCCAGAGTGAAAGCTAGGTGGGATTGATCGTTGGTGCAAGGTGCACTGAAATCTGGAAATTTTCGGTGACCGTGGTGCGAAAGCTTTCGCTGGCTGTGGTAATCTGGCTGGATCAAAGGAGAAGACTCTTTGGTCCTTTAGAGAGTCAGTCAGTCAGTCGGTTAGTTGGGGGGATAAGTCTAAGTGGTGAGGAGTGGAACTATCACTTGGTTGTGCACCTATCACCATGGTGACCACATGAGCAGGAACTAGCACTACCCCCTATAGTAAGGACCAGGGAGAGAGTGCTGCCACCATTTTGAAGGAAACAAAGAGAAGATGGAGAAGCAAGAGTTGATTAAGCAGGCAAAGATGTTAGCCTTGTTAGAAGAGCAAGAGGCAAAGAAGAAACAGATGGAGGAGGAACTCCAAAGGTGGAAGAAAGAACAGGAGGAGAAGTTGGCGGCAGTAGAAGAAGAAGAAGAAGAAGAAGTGGAGGTTCCCCTAAAGAGGAATGTGAGGACTGGAGAGGGGGGGATCTAGTGGGGCGCGTGAGAGAGGCAAAGATGGAGAAGCTGGTGCCTGAGTGGGTGCCAAATCTAGCCCTGGGGGAAGAGGAGGAAGCTATGTTGTTTGTCCCTCAAGTAGACAGGGCGGCGGTCGTAACAGATTTGCAAGCGGAGGAGGACCCCTTGCGCCGTCATGCCAAGGACGAGGAGAAGAGATTGGAGTGGAAGTTGCGCCTTGCAAGGGAGAGAACAAGGCGGGTGGAGGCAGCAGACAATGTGGAGAAAGAGTTGAGGGTTGTCGAAGAGCAACAGGGGCAACTGGCAACGCAAGTAGATTTGCAGAGGAAGATAGAGCTCATGTCCCAGAATATGGATGTAATGTTGAGGGCCCAGCAAGAGCAGCTGCACTATTTGAGAGGCCATGATATCGCTTTGCAATCCATGCGCATGGGATTTAAAGACTTCGCACGAGAGATGATGATGCGTGTGGGCACAAAAATGCGCGCTGCATTAGAAAATACCATACTTGCGGCGCACTTAAGTGGTGAGCCGTGCGCCACATGCTCACGGGTGATGTGTACGCACGTGCACACCGTGCGCACTGAGCACGCACAGGCAGTGCGCTGGAGTGTGGCCGAGTGACCCCCATGGTCTCCAATTTGTGTAAAATTAGAATGAATCTTTCGCTAGAACATGGAAAGATACATCGCCATATTTTTTGTCGTTTGTGCATGTGTATGGCGACTGTATGTTTCGACGTTGTTGGTTTTCAACTTGTCGCAGACATTCTCTTTCTCTCTTTTTCTTTTTTTTTAGCGAAAGCACCAAGGAAACACAACTGTCACTTTTGTCGTTTTCTATATCTGGAAGTAATGAGAGGAAAGCAACGGTTCCAGAGACGCGTCCTCATCATAACAGTATTGGACTTCTAAAAGGACTCAGATACACTGAAGATAGCATGGAGTTGTGTACAACAAACATGACAACACACATAGTTTTGGGGGCCGCGCGGCCCTGAAAAAAAGTTGCGCGGGCAATGTACTAATTTTGGCTGGGCGTGGGAACTTCGATTCACCCCATCCCCAACTTTCTTTTTTTTTGGCTGACCCCGAATTTTGCCCATGTGGCGCACCGAGTGCGCGCGCCATGTGCACAATGCGCTGTGCGCCGGATGTGCGCGAGTGGCTCGCACGGGATGCGCCGCAAGTATGGAAAATACTGAAAGATTCTGCACATGTGCCATAGAAGGCACCAAGCTAGCGGCCCCCAAAGAAGAGGAGGCACGACCATGTCGCAAGCGCATTAAGGCCAAGTTCCCTGAACCCTATGGTGTGAAGAAGGGAGAGGACTTCAATAATTGGGAAGCCAATATCAAGTCCTACACTTGCAAATCATTATGCCTGAGAACCATGTTCTCGTGGCCTTTCAGGCACTGAAGGACGAAGCGGCCAGCTTGCTCACGCCGCCAAATGTGACAATGATATGGTCACATACTCCATTACTAAAGCGATTTTTTGTTTGCCCTCCATGAGCGATTTGCAGATGTCACCAGAGGCCTTAGGGCATCTAACAAACTGCAAATAGTCCACACGCGACAGTGGAAGAGTGCAAGGGCACTCAAGGCCGCCATGGATGAACTCGTCGCTGCCCCTGGACATGGGGTCATTGAGGCCCAACTTGCCCAGTTGTTTTATCACGCCATGCCAGAGACTTTACACGGGCACTTCTTCGATAAGAAATAACAACCTTACATGACATACGACACACTTAGTAGGGAGGTTGTTGCTTTCGAGGCCCAATCCGCGCCAGTTACCACTTTCTAGTGCAAGAACCTTGCAAAGGGCAAAACGTGGAAAGGTCGGACCATCTCAGGCCAAGTTAAGGCCAAGGATAGTCTTATTCTTACAATGGAGGGAGGTGGTCTGGAAGAGGTCTCATACAACGAGATGGAGGGAGGAGGTCTGGAAGAGGTAGACAGTAGTGAGGGGCAGGGGAGTTCCTACGCCGCTGTCGCGGCTGGAAGGAGGCGGTAAGGAAGCGGAAGACACTAGGGCCAAGGGGGCCAGGCCTCTGGTGGTCGAGGACAGGGTGGCCAGGGGGTTGGTGGCAGGGGAAACCTCCAAGATCGAGGCAGGAGTCAAGGTCCCCTGTCAAACCATCCTCGTTTCAATCGGTCACCTCCCAGAACGGGTGGTTGGCACCCTGGTTGGCCTGAGGGTCGGCCCTAGGAATCTTTGGGCATTGAAAAGAAGGAATGGTAGGACAAGATAGATAATTGGCAATGCGTTTTCTGTGGTGACCCCGAGCACATCATCAAATTTTGCCCGAAATATAGGAATGTCGGAAGAACTGTTGCAGAGTCAGCAAAAGGCAAGCGCCGGTAGGGGTAGCAACTGCCCTTACCTCTAGCCCATGTGGAGATGAGTGTGCACGCCAAATAGAAACTCCCACTCCATGTGTGCCTACGACAGAGGTTGCTGGCCAGCATCAAGTCAGCTATCCATAGACTGCTTGTGTAAGGGTCTTTCTAGGCGCTTCACTCACAGGTCTGGCAGAAGAGTTGAACGAGAGAATGCCGGTCTGGGCCAAGATGAAGAGAGAAGGAACAAGGCAACTATTGTTAGTAGATGTAGAATTTTTTAGAGGCAGATAAAGGACCCTTATAGACATTGGGGCCACGTGTAGCTATATTAGCCGCAAAGCGCTAAAGAAGCTAAAGTTGAGTTTGGAAGTCCAAAAGTTGGAAGAACCCGTAGTCAGCATCCTCGCAGGCAATCACACCATGCGAATCGAGGATTATGTTGACGGGGTCTAGGAGTACTTTCGCCTAGAAGCAGATGGGAAGGTAGAGAAAGTTCTCCATTCCGTGACTCTCCTCGTTGAAGACAATCTTCAGTTTGATATGGTCATAGGGATGAACTGGGAGAGGGAGTAGGAGCCACACTACATTTGCGAGAGCATGAGTGTAGGTTTCCTAGTCCTTCAAGTGGTGTCAAGACGGCCTGCCTGTTTCTAGTGTGAGGAGTAGACAACTCCTTGGCGCGTTGTTGTCTTAGCGCTCTTGCGTTCACGCGACTAGTGAAAAACATGTCTGCTAGGTTGCCTTCAAAAAAGGTAGCAACCTCTACTTATGAGAGGGAACTCTACACTCTCAGGCAAGCGTTAGACCATTGGAGACACTACTTACTTGGGAGGCACTTCAAAGTCTATTCAGACCACGAGACACTCAGGTGGCTGAAGACACATGCCAAGATGGCACCTAAGCTTACTAGGTGGGCCGCAGAGATAAACCAGTTCGACTTTGAGCTCAAACCCGTGAAAGGAAAGTACAATGTGGTTCCAGACGCTCTGAGTAGAGAGTCGACTACTTTAGAGCTATGGTTCACTATCTAGACATAGGAACTGACTTACAAAAAAGGTCAGAGATGCGTACGCGCAAGACCCTATCTACAGTGATATCCTCAAGAGAGTAAGGGAGGATCCAACAAGTGAACCTGATTATCGGACCACAAACGGGTTGTTGTTTGAGAAGACAGACGTCGGAGATCCGCTGTGCATCCCCAATAGTGTAGAGATCCGGAGTCTGATCTTAGGGGAATACCACGATACAGAAGGACACTTCGGTTGGCAAAAGACGTTAGCCAACCTGACACGTGCCTACACGTGGCCTGGCATGAAAGCTGACTGCATAGTGTATGTTCGTAGTTGTAAGGTATGCCAGCACAACAAAACTACGATGCGAGCCCCATTGGGTCTTCTCAGACCCTTCCCTATCCCTTCAGGATTCGAAGAGTCTGTGTCCATCGACTGTATTAGGCACGACAAGAGCCATGCCATGGTTATAGTTGATCGCTTCAGCAAGTATGCAGTTTTTGTTCCTTTGCCTTCTGAGGCACAAATAGAGTTAGCAATAGAGAAGTTTTTCGATGCCTGGGTGAGTGAGCATAATATTCCGCTATCTATAATTAGCGATGGAGATACGTGGTTTACTAGCCAGCATTGGCAGGAACTTATGTGAGTCTATGTCTCAAAGTTGTTAATGTCATCTGGCCGTCATCCAGAAACTAACGGTCAGACTGAACAAATGAATAAGATCCTGCAGCAGATACTCAGTATGTATATTAGGCCTGATCAGATTAACTGGGATGAGATGCTCCCTAAAGTAGCTAGTGCCTACAATAAAAGTGCCCATCTAGCTACTTGCCGTCCTAATGAATTGCACAAGTCCTTTCGACCACGCAGGCCGTTTGAAGGACTGAATAGTGAACAGATACAAAGACTGCCTCTTGGAACTTGAGAATTTGCGCTGCAGCATGAGAGGGAAATCGCGAGGGTTACAAAGAATCTGAGAAAAGATCAGCACAAGATGATAGAGCAGGCTAATAAGCATCATCGGCCATCACAGTTCCAGGTAGGTGATTTAGTCTGGGTCAAGTCTAAGGAGTTCTCCCCAGAAGAGAACATCTCACAAAAGTTGTTACCTGCGTATAGGGGACCGTGGCCTGTCCTAGAAGTGAAAGGTGGAGAGGACGGAGCTTCCTACACGGTAGAGCTACCGCCACACCTCCACACATACCCAGTCTTCCATGCCTCAAAGTTGTTACCTTGTGTCACCAGCCAGCAATTTCTGACGCGTCGATCGATGATTCCGCTGGATATGGATGGCACATATGATATAGATCGCATTGTGGAAGAGGATGTGTTCAGAACCAGAGGTAGGGGTCGTCCACAAAAGCAATACAAAGTTAGGTTCGCTTATCAGGAGCCGGAGGACGACCGCTGGTTCACAAGAACCGAGCTTTTAGAGACCGCTCCCGACATAGTCCACGCCTACGATAGAGAAAGGAAAGGTGAAGGTCCTGCCTTGTGTTGAAGTATTCTCGGAGGACTTCGAATTTAGGCCGGCGGGAGTGAAACGGTTTTCACCTTTACGGTAGCAGATGCAGTACCCAGGGCTCGATCCCTAGACCTCACCTTCACCCATGTACAGTACCAGTTGACCCGTGTGTGTTTGAATCCGCGACCTGTTTTCTGAAAGTCCTCTGTTCAGCTGTTGTAGATAGTGTGGTCGTCGGGTCTTGAACTGCAGGTCTGTGTCTTAGAGGTCTTAGCAGTAGTATAGGTCGTAGCTGCTACAGTTCCGAAAGATCAAGCCTACGACCTTCCGGAACTTCCGAAAGTGGCCTTTCACGAGTCCTAGAGTCAGTCCGCGTCTGAGTCAGCAGAGGGCAGTCCTAACACAGTCAGCAGGGCAGTCCTAGTCCTACACAGTCCCAGGTCGCACTTTGTCTAGTCAGCAAGTACCATGTGGGACTGTGCACACCCCGGGCCCAGGGTCAAAGGCCAGTCCTACGACAGTCCGAAGTATAAATACAGAGGCAGCGTCAAGTCATTCATTCATTCTGCCCGCGAGCCGTGCGGAAGCGCTGTTGGAGCGCGTTGTGTACCAAGGTCTGCAGGTGCCCGTAGGAGAAGTGGGCTAAGAGGAGTAAGACGCGGACATATCCGCCAGTTAGTGGTAGGAGATAGATGACAGCCATAGCTGTCAGTTAGGAGGTTAGTAGAAGTGTGTGTTGTGTGTGTGTGCGGGACATCCAGGGAGATCCGGAGTGTGTGTGTGCGAACAAGTTGCTTGGGGATACAGTTGATCGATTGGGAATCTTTGTCTGGCGCTTCGGGCGATAGCCATTCAAGACAAGTTTGAATCTGAGCTGTGTTCCTGGCTATGTTTATCTCTGAGCTTTGTGTGGGCGCTAAGCGCCAGGTGTGATTGTCATCTGTTTGCATGCATGCTGAGTGTCGAAGAAGACAAGTCTGATTGCACTTCGGGTTTTCTTATAATTAGCATTCAAAAAACACTGAAAATTTGGGTCTATTTCAACGGTTCATTGGTGTACCAACTGGGCTTAGGCCAACTGGTAGCACACATGTTTTCATCTTTTCAAGTAATGTTTTCTGCAATTGGTGCTTTTTGTTGTTGCTATCATCAGGAACTCCAAGAGGTGTATTCTGCAATTGAGGAGGCAAAAGCAGACATTGTTGGCCTCTGGGCCTTGCAGTATCTGCAGGACAAGGTCTGAGCTTTTTCCAAACTGTTCATCGTGACAAATTCTGTGTCTGATATGCTCGGCAAAGAGACCCTCACTCATGCATCATCCATCCCATGTGAGCATGCAGGCATCGTGGTCACACCAAACACGTGAAAATCAAGTTGTCCTTCCTCTTCGAAAATCATCACACAGTTCCACAAGATTCCAGAGTTACAGCATCGGGTACTGCACACACACAGCACCTATAGGTGGTGCAGCTATGGTGGGTCAGGCCCACAAATGTGCTCACAGACTTGAAAATTTGAGATAACGGGCCTGGCTCAATTTCACAATTGAGTTCAGCTTGAATGAAAGCCCCACAAACCCTGTCACTCGCTGCCACAAAGATGCAGGTCAGAGCTCAAGGCAGTCTTCATGTGCTACAATCGACACTACCACCAGCATGTCTCCTCCTCTCTTCTACACAGGATCTTTTCCCGAACATCGAAGTGATGCTCCACTTGATGGGTCACGACACAACAGCCCGATCCCACTCCAAAAGGAACAGGAAACAACAGCTACCAGATGGCAACTTGCTCCAGCTATGGCTGAATTCTTCACCACACAGCGCACTGCTTGATTTCTGGAACCAGCACCACACAGAATGAATGAATCCCCCAAAAACGAATTCTGCGGTTTTGTTTCACGGGCGCACTTCCCCTGTTGCCCTTGGAAGCCTCTGGATACTTGCTGGAGGCACACTTGCGGCACAAATGGTACTAAGCATTGACTTTATGCACGGTTTTGTTTCACGGGCGCACTTCCCCCGTTGCCCTTGGAAGCCTCTGGATACTTGCTGGAGGCACACTTGCAGCACAAATGGTACTAACCATTGACTTTATGCACACACAAGAGCAGGTCTCAGGTTCAAGACTCCACAAGCACAGTCAACGCTTACAACAGGGTATAGCAACAGGTAAGGGCACAGGGAAGTCAACATCAGGTCCTGGGTTTAAACTCCAGCAACACGGGAGGCATACAACATAGCAGAAAAAGGCAACAACACCAGCGGCAGGTCCTGGGATTGAATCACGGCAGGCTTAGGAAGGTGAAATCCTTTCATGCTCTCTCTCGTACATGATATTCTCTCTCACTAATTCGTAGAAGCGAAGATCGGGTCCTGCGCAAGGGCAGGTGGTTTGTGAGGGAGCCATTGAGTTCAAATCCTAAATGGTACACACATGTGTAGGTGTTGCGCTTGACCATGAACGGCAATCACATGCAGCTGTTAAACATGTCATGCGCTCAAACAGTAATCATATCTAGCTGTTAAACAGCAGGTTATGTGTTCAAAACTGAGTGGGGATCCGGGCCGCCCGGGTGACCGGCAGGGGCCCGGGGGAGGTCCCGGGCGGCCTGGCCGGGCAGGGCACCCGGTTGGGGGCCGGGCCCCCCCAGTACACTCACCTGTTGGGGGGGTTTGGACCCCCTTTTGGCTGGTATTGGCCTCCTGCAGGCCTACCGGGTCCGACCGGCCCAAGAAACCGTTGCGTCGGGCCCGGTAGGCCTGCTTTTTTTTTTTTTTTCGCGCCGGCTCTGTTGGCGCCAACCTTACCCCCCTTTCGAACCTCCGATCGGCTGGGGTGGTCTGCCACGCGCCCCCCAGCACAATCGCAGTTGGTGCCGACCTGCAGCTGTGCCGTCCTGCTGCGCCGTCGCCCGTCGCCCGTCGCCCGTCGCCCGTCAACCTTCGCTATCGACTGTCCTGCTGCTGCTGCTACGATGAAGGCCCTGCTGCTACGACAAAGGCCCCGACGACGAAGGCGCCGTTCTTCTTCTTCTTCTTGTCGGAATCGTTTAGGGTTTGTGTAGGACGGGGAGAGGAAGGCGCTGCTGCTAGGGTTACTGTTGCAGGTAACAACGAAGGCCCCGACGAGCTTCTTCTTCTTCTTCTTCTTCTTTTTCTTCTTCTTCTGTCTTCTTCTTCTTCTTCTTCTTCTTCTTACTGTTCTCCTTATTCTTCTTCTTTTCTTCTTCTTCCTCCTCTTCTCTCCTCCTCCTCGTCCGCTCATATTGCTCTGCTTCTTCTCTCCTCCTCCTCCTCCCCCCTCTCATCTTCTTCTTCTTCTTCTCTCCTCCTCGTCTTCCTCCGCTCATCTTCTTCTTCTTCTTCTTCTTCTTCTTCTTCTCTCCTCCTCCTCTTCCTCCGTTCATCATCATCTTCTTCTTCTTCTTCTTCTTCTTCTTCTTCTTCTTCTTCTACTTCTTCTTCTTTCGGCAGGTCACATGAGATATGACAGGCCGTCCACCTACCCCTCCTTTCTTGGCTCATCTTCTTCTTCTTCGTCGTCGTCTTCTTCTTCTCTCCTCCTCCTCCTCCTCCTCTCGTCTTCCTCGTCTTCCCCTCGTCCCCCTCGTGTTTTCATCTTCCTCCATAACTTTTCTTCTTCTTCTTCTTCTTCTTCTTCTTCTTCTTCTTCTTCTTCTTCTTCTTCTTCTTCTTCTTCTTCTTCCCTTCTCCCCAACTCGTTTTCTTTTTCCTCCTCCTCTTCTTCTTCTTCTTCTTCTTCTTCTTCTTCTTCTTCTTTGTCGACTTTCGGTAGGTCACGCGAGACACAACAGGTTAAAAAAAAAAAAAAAAAAAAACGAAGGCCGTCCTCCTCCCCCTCCTTCGCTCATCTTCTTCTTCTTCTCCTTCTTCTCTCCTCGTCGTCCTCTTGTCTTCTTCTTCTTCCTCTCCTCCCCCTCATGTTTTCATCTTTCTCCTTGACCTTTCTTGAACTTCTTCTTCTTCCCCTCCTCACCTCTTCTTCTTCTTCTTCTTCTTCTTGTGCTCCATCCGCTAGGTCTTCTTCTCTCCTCTTCTTCTTCTTCCCCTGCTTCCCTACTCCCTTCCCGCCTTTCTCCGTCCCCCCTCCATCCCATCTCGCCATCCTCCATCCATCCATCCTTTATACATCCGTCTCTCCCTCCATCCCATCCCGCCATCCTCCATCATCCACCATCGATCCATCCATCGATCACTACATCCATCCCTCCCTCCATCCCATCTCGCCATCCCTCCCTCCCTCCATCCCATCTCGCCATCCCTCCCCCCTTCCATCCATCCATCCATCTTCTTCTTCTTCTTGGACGTTGTTAAGCAGTCTCCCTCCATCCCTCCATACTCCCATCTCGCCCTCCCTCCCCCCCTCCATCCATCCATCCATCCATCTTCATCTTCATCTTCTTCTTCTTCTTCTTCTTCTTCTTCTTCTTCTTCTTCTTGGACGTTGTTAAGCAGTCTCCCTCCATCCTCCTGCGAGGATCTGAGTCCTGGGCAGGCCTACGGGGCCCCTGTTGCATAAGTGCCCGCCAGGCGGGCCTAGCAAATCTCAAGAGGCCTTCGGCTCTCAATTTCATATTTGGGGTCCAAACAGTTCTGACGCGCCAGTTGGTTGAGGAAAACACAGGCCGAACAGCAAGGACATTCCACGGCCTCCCGGGACTTTCCGAAAGTGCAGGCCCTGGGCAAGAATCGCAGCCTCATACACAGACAGTTGGGAGGCCCAAACGAACGAGGCCCAGTAGCTGCATCAGAGGCGCAGCATCCTGGGGCCTACTGGAAGCTTCTGGGCCAAAGCCCAGGCCAGCCAAGCTGCCGAACGAGGCAGGCTCTTTCCATATAGGAAAGAGCTCGCTGCCTGGCCGGGGCATTCGTGCACTTGCTGGCTGGCGGCAGCGCTGCTGGAGCTCATGCTTGCGGGCTGGCTGCTAGCGCTGGAGTAAGGTGCAGCGCACGTGCGGTCGTGTGTGGAAGCAGGGCGCTGCTGAGGGCAGCGCCAGCCCAGCCTCCATAGCTGGATGGGTTTGGACTACAGTGAGGCGCAGGGGGTGGTCTTCGGGTGTATAGAGGGAAGACGTGGGAGAGAGAGAAGGATGATGATGATGATGATGTGAGGGCACATACCTGGTATTGGCGATGGTCTGCTACTAGCAACATCTTCAAGTACTTCGTTGGCTGCTGACGTCAACAGTTGCATTGTCAATTAGTAGGCTAGTAGTAGCTGTGTAGGGAGTAGGCTGGGTGTCGAGCACCAAGTAGGGAGAATGGCCCGGATACATATGTTGGTGGTGGCGAGAGCAAGCTCTCATTGACATTGGTTTTCAGTGTTACGATTTTCCATTGTTGTCTTATTGGTGCAATGACGCTTTCTAAACACTGTGATACGATCTGGCTTTCAATGTGATTGTGCAATCTGAATATTGTCATCTCGTTTTTGCTCATTTTCCTTGCAATTTGGTATCGGAGCTGGTTCGAACTGCGCTTCATTGGTTCTTCGCAAATAGCTGTTCGGTGCTTCGCATGAGGTGTGGGGCAGTGATAAGGCTTGGGCGTTGAACGGTAAGGCGGTCCAGGGTCGTGTGGGCGCGCCAGGAAGCTATGTGGTGACATTAGGGGTGTACGCCTGGATGATGAGAACTGGCTGATGTGGCATTTAAGCCAAGGTGGAACTGCATTCTGTTGTTTGTTGTGCCGAGGCAAGGACCGGTCATCATAAATGCACGTCAGGTTGCCGGTGAGAAATCTGTGGTCGGGGGCAGCATTATGAGGTACGTTGCTCTCTTCCTTACCTACCCTCTCCATTACTTCTTATCGTGAGGAAGTGAGTTTTGTCTTGAGAGTCCTCTCAATGTGAGGTGTCGCGAGCGCTCAACCTTGAGAGTCGACATTCTTCCTGGGCAGCAAGCTGGTGGGAGACGGGTGAAGCCTCTGAAGGGCCCTGGATGAAGCACTCGGGTCACAGTCACCATGCCAACCCACTAGGACTAGTACACGCATGCTTTGCCGCAAGTCCTTGGATTTGCTGCTGCGCAATAGAGGTCATGCAGGGCATGCCAGCCCTTTAACAGACGCTTTCCAGACCGTCTTTAAATATTTCTGGTGGGGACTCGGTGTTGACTCTGGCTGTGATCATTGTCCTGATTGCGACGTTAAAAAATTCCTGAGGACCGTGGGGGCTGTCCTAAAACTGCCTCTTGATCAGCCAGATCAAACCGGGTGT